CTTCTCATTTTCTTTAGTGTGGTGGGAGGGAAGAAAAAAATCCATTTTGCGAGAGAAAATAAGTCCTCCAGCGAAATTCATGTTGCCCAGCCATAAAGCTTAAATCTCCGACTTATTTTCAACTTGAGCCACATTCTTCTCATTTTCTTTAGTGTGGTGCAATTTTTAATTTCCAATTTCTGCCCGTTGTTCTCCCTCTCTCTGTTGATGTTGCTTTCAATCTATATATGATGCAAAATTTTGGAGTGTAGTTAAATAATTCATAACGAGCATTACTAAATTTTGGATTGACAGCATAGCTCCCTTTCCCTTATATGGTTCTTTTGCCTATCTTGATCCTCTTGTTTAGCATAAAGAGTCACATATCCAGAATACTTGTTCAAATTGTATATAATACTTTGTGTTATCACTTGTCTTAGCATGTTTGTGATGAAAAAGAAGGTAGATAAATCCATGTACCGACAGCCCATATTCCCTTGGATCCGACCGAGAAAATACAAAAGAATTCATCTTAAACCAATCATAAGGATGATTAAAAATGGAGCAAAAACATAAAATAAGATTTGTAATTAGCAAAGTGAAAGACCAGAGTAAAACAATTCATTCAACACAAGTTGTTTGTGTACATCTGGTCTAGCAACCACTAGCTTGCCAAGTTTACCACATTATAATCATTAAAATGAAGAAGTTACAGCAACTAAGTACTGAATTTTAGTGCACAAATTTTAGTGCATAAACACCTGACAAAACCAAACATGAGCCTATTACTCCACCACCCGACTTCTTCCTGGTCTCATCATACCTGTCATTGAAGTTGGTCTGTTGTGATAGAAGACAAAGAAAACAACAGATTTGTCCATAAATTTTTATTTTAAGCAAAACATAGCAAGAACAACTCAACATATTATATAAAGAGTACACTAACTTAATAGCTTCCAAGATCCTGCTGAAGTCCATCTTGTCTTCATTCTTAACTAAAGTTAAGCACTACACAAGACGGCATAAACAAAACCTTACAATGCAATCCAAGCCCATATTACCATTTTGCATTTAGCAATGCGGAAGACAAAAAACAAAGTAAAAAATAATCACCAAACTTCCACCCGCCTATGTTCCTATGCCACCGTTATAAATTTAATGTGGATAGTAGGATTGCAACGATTGACCTAATTTGCACCACGGACATTACTACATTAATACTGTCTATGTACATATTGAGTTAGAACGATTGAAAAATGCCCATACCTGCAGAACTGAGTATGTTGTTCAAAGACGACGGAAGGGTCAAATTTATATCCGGTAATTGTTGGGAAAACACGTGAGTTCTAGTGTCGGCCTACATCAAAGAGCAAATTAAACAATAGTTCAAAAAACCACAACTATGTAAAATTAATATACTAACCAACAATAGGTGTGAATACGAGAACAACATTGATTGTAAATATTGTGTTTGTTGAAATGGTTGAATGTTGGGTGCACCTTCGTCTGTATTACTGTCCCGTGGTTTCGATCTGTTGCCTTTGTTTAAATTTGAAGTTGCTTGCATGTACATTGAGATGAATTAAAATTTGGTAAAGGAGTACATTAGAATGGAAAAGATCAGAGGCAAGAACACACCTTCGATTTCTTTGAAGTCGACTCCAATGGGCTTTTTTCTAAAGTTTCCTTGGCGCACCTTTTCTTTTCGACGATTTTGGATCTAGTATGCTCACACTGGCACTGTTAAGTGAATCATTACACCGGGATTCTAACTGAATAGTATGTTGTGAATCACACAAGCAGTAAGGTGGAGCATTATGTTGGCCTAATAGATTAGGAGACTCAAAATGTAGCTTTTGATCTTTTACAAAATAATTCACTCCTTCAGTTTAAGCAATAAACTAAAATGGGGGAAACAAACATAGAAGAGGATTCAGGTGCACAATAGTAGCGATTAATGGAATTGTTGTCTTAAGACTTCAACTACAGTTGCAAACCATGTAATTTTTCCAACCTGTGAAGTAGAAATTGGAAATTAAAAATTGCACCACACTAAAGAAAATGAGAAGAATGTGACTCAAGTTGAAAATACGTAGGAGGTTTAAGCTTTATGGCTGGGCAACGTGAATTCCGTTATAATAAGTCCTCCGGCGAAATGGGTTTTTTCTTCTCATAAATTATTTCTCATGCAAAATGGGTTTTTTCTTCCCTCCCTCTGTTCCCTCCACTTCTATCGTTTGGGTATGAGAAAAGGTGGGGAAATTTTGGGTTTCTCACCAAGTCCCTTATTTTAGTCCTTTTTTTGGCTCAATAAAGCTATTTGTACATTCGGGGTTGACACCTATATGCAAATAGCGAAGTCCTTTTTGGCTTTCGGGTGGGCTGCATGCCTTTTATTTGAAATCCTGTAAGTTGCCTATAAACCAAGTGCTTGTACCCATAGCATAATTGTTGTGAAATTACCCCCAGTTTGACACTTTTAAAGCTTTAAATTGTTTGCTGCATTAGCAATTTTCATCATTTATTTACACAATAAAATATTTTACACATAAATTAGTACTTTTTTTTTTACATTTTAATCACACGTTCTCAAAAAAAATATTGCTCAAAACTTTTTTAACTTTTCAAATAATGAATAACAAACAAGGACTTAATAATTTTTTTTTGTAAAAAGTATATAACTAAAATAGCGGAAAAATTATGAATTTAAATTTTTAGGTATAAAATTATTTTATAACCAAACCAGGACTGAGAGTAATGTTTGTCCTTAACCTAACATTGCATGAGGAATTTAATTTTCGACTCTTAACAAGAGGTTGCTAATCTTTAGCCTTTTATTATGTTATGAGCTCTGCTACAAAACTCGGGGTTTAGATCCAGGCCAAGATGCTTGATCTTGAATTTCATGGAGCCCACAGAATAACAATTAAGGGCCGAGGTGTTGCCAACACCTCAACCTGTCAACATGACCTATCATTGGCCCTGTTTGAATGACAAATCTCTTATGTTATATTGTTATGCATCAGTACTATATGACGGTAATTGTTCAAATCTTTGTTAAATTATCATGTAGTTCTCACGAAAATATCGCCACTTTCAATTTTGGACACTTGTATGAGTTGAAAGAAACAAAATATAACGTCTCAAGGTTGAATTGATGACGATTTAATATCTGTGTATGTCTGGGAACAATTTTAAGCAACTTCTAATTTCAAATTTGACCATTAGCCATTTTTTTATTTCAAAGCCTACAGATTCTCCTGACATTGACAAACCACATAATGCTCTACTTTTTCAAAATTGCCCTTCCATTACATACAACCAACAACCCACCTACCAAAATCAAATTTTCATCTCTCTCACCCACCGTCATCTTCAGCAGAACCCACTTTCCCTTTCACCATAATCACCACAAAGTTTGCAGAAAATGGATGAACGTGAACATTTGAACATGGCCGACGACATGCAGTCCTCTCCCGTTGGAAAATATCCAGTTTGAACCGACTGTGAGAAGTCGGGCTGCTAGCAGCTGGATTTATTTCTTTTCCTCATTCACATCTTTCACCATTTTGAACCAACGGAAGACGAAGCTTTTCAAGCTTTTTTTGTTGGCAACTATAAGCGAGAGGACACTTTGAGCTTGCTTTGGAAACCTGGTTCTTGATTCACTAGCATCCTTGACAGCCTTCCACGATTTGTCCGTCAAACACCATGGATCCGTTCGTTTCTCCGGTACGTTAAATTGAAAACGTCATTTTTCCGGTCGACAGTACTCATTTTCGATCTTACTATGTCCCTTTTCTTTTTTATCCACCGTGTCACTGGTTATTATTTTTTTGGGCTTTGGTGCAAGTGGGCAACTACCCACACTCGTTCACCTCCAATGCCTCTCCCGTTCGATATCAGTCGGCTCGCAATAATGCCCAATGGAATGACTATGAGACAAAGGTGTTCGTTGGTGCCTGTGAAACCGTTATCGCTGACGGACACCGGAATGGAAAATTCTTCACCAAGCACGGTTGGGAGACAATTATTCACATGTTTAACAAAAATTTCGGCCACAATTGGACTAAGCAACAACTCAAAAATCGATAGGATGCTCTCCGAACGAAACACAAGAGATTAGAGGAGTTGATCAACTCCGGTGGTATTGCCTACGACTCATCGACTGGTAGAATCTGCACCTCATAGAAGTGGTGGGTCCAAAAAATTAAGGTACCATCTTTGCACATATAACCCTTCGAATTGTCGTATCTGCATGCGTTGAAGTAGGTGCCTGTTCGTTTATGTTGGCAGTGGGGTTACAGATTCATGTTATGGGTTTGGCGGATTGGCCTTAACTTGTTGTTGTGTTTGCTTTTATTTATTTTTAGGATTTTGTATTGCTGCATAGATAATTGTTGCAAGTTTAATTGGCGTAATACTGTAACGGTAACAAATATTTCATTGACATACGCCTTATTTCATGTTCGTTGCGTTTGGCTTTCGTTATCCTACATGTTTTTTTTTTTCGCATTTCTACGTAACGTGTGTAAAACCCTTTCCACTTGTATTGTGATAGGAGAACAAAGACTACAAAGAATTTAAGGACAGAGACTGTCGAGATGTGTACGGATACAAGGCTTTGTTCGGGGATGCATTCGACTGTGACAAGTTTGCAGTCACTCCTACTAAAGCATGTCGAATGGGATCGGCAATGTTTGAGGACAGCGAATATGAAGTCCATCGAGATGAGATCCCAGTCAATGTTGAGAGCAGCGGTTCAAGTGACGAGGGCGAAAAAAGAAATGTGACTGCAGAAAGTATGGATGTCTCGGGACGACACAGTGGAGATAAACGAAAGGCAGGCACCAAAAAGTAGAAGGAAAAGAAGAAGATTTCCGCTCGGGAGCTATCATTCTCGGTGGATCGGGGGACAACGGCCAGTGAGAGGGTTGCTGCCAAACTCGACAACCTCATTGGGCCGCCTGTTTCGGACCTAAAGACATGCATGCAAGAGTTATTGGCAACGGGTCGACTGGAGAAAAATACGGATCTATATTTCTGGACGTATACCTTTCTTTCCCAAAAACGCAACAGGGAGATGTTGGATATGCAAGACAATGCAAATGAAAAATTTGCGCTGGTAGAATGGAATTGGCGGGAATATCGTAAAGCACAGCCTCGGTGACTTTTTGTTTGAGTGGTCGGGCTGTACCTCTTTTTCAATTGTGGTAATTTAAGTTGCTTTGTAATTTGAAATATTTCTTATGTCATTTGTATTATGAACTGTTTGCTATCATATTAGTAGATTCTAAATCAGAGATTCTCATAGATTTACACCAGGCAAACATGACAAAAGATGCAGTTGGATGCTTGTTAATAATTGTCAAACGAGTACTCAACGGATCAAGTACAGTACACGTCAATCATAGCTTTCACTTCAACTTCAAATTGCACATGGGCCATATAGTAAGCACTAATTTTTTTAGTTTCTTCACTTTTATCATGCTTGCAATCTATAAAAGGGTTGGCATTCTTACACATTTTCACCCCAGTTCAAAAACTAGTGTCACATTCTTGCCTCATTTGTATGGCACATTTCAATATAACCAGTGTGTTGCAACCAAACTCCGATGACGAAAACGAACTTGGTGAGGATGCTTTTCTGGAAGAGCTACAGGCGGATATTGTCGAGTGGTTTCGGTTCTGTCGTGTGAACGACGTTGCTGTGCATAACTACTATCGTGAACAAACACGTCATATATCTCGATTTCCGTTCGCACGGAATGGACATATGTTTATGATGGATGCAATGAACTGTAATCAGAAACAGTGTTATGCAGAGTTCCGCATGTATCCTGCCATGCTGCGAACATTTGCGCACATCCTTCGCGACGAGTATGGTCTTCGCAGTCGGCAACAAGTAGATGCGTATGAGCAAGTCGGTATATTTTTGTGTATATTGGCACACGGAAAAGGCTATAGGCAAGTGCTGACGTTATTCAACCATTCATTAGAAACTGTCGGACACTACTTCAAAATCGTCCTCGAAGCGGTTCTCGAGTTCTCGAGGTGCTTAGTTCGACCGGATTCAAACTATAATCATGGTGCCGAGCATCACGCACCGAATCGGAACAAGCATCCGTTGTTTCAGGATTGCATAGGAGCAATTGACGGCACTCACGTAAGAGCCGTCCTCCCACAAGACCAGCGATTGAGTTTCAACGGACGCAAAGGAATCCCTACGTAGAACGTGCTAGCGGCATGTGATTTCAATTTTTGTTTCACATTTGTGCTAGCTGGTATAACTAGCACTTCTCATGATGCTAGAATCTTAGCTAGGGTTATACATAACCCTGAGATTCACTTTCCACAACCAACGAACGAAAAATATTATCTGATAGACTCAGGGTTCGCCCATCGACCTGGGTATATGGCCCCGTATAACGGTGCTGACATATTGTATCATTTTCAGCAACTTTACGATGGGGAGACAGGACGCAGGCGTAACTTTTGAAATGCACGCAAGAAATTCAATTTCAGGCACTCGTCATGCAGAAACGTTATAGAACGTGCTTTCGGAGTTTGGAAAAACCGTTGGAAAATACTTGATCGTATGCCGAGCTATAATTTCAAGGTACAAACAGCTGTTGCAATAGCAACTATGGGTATTCAAAACTTTTTTCGACGGGCGGGCGTGGTTGATGAAGCATTCACGAGAGCTGAGACGGACCCCGACGTAGCAGAGGTCGAGCTACCGGATGAACATGAAGAACTTGCTGCTGAAATATATGCACCAGAAATCCAACGAAACGAGTGGGATCGTTTCAGAGATTATTTGGCACAACAACCGTGACATTCACGGTTCGTTCGACGTTCTACGCATACTCATTCAATTTTTTTTAGTGAATCTCTTATCTTTGGTGCATGTAATTTTCGAATGTGGTAACCGAATTGGAATGAAGGGATGAATATCTTTTGTAAGTGAATTTTTTTCCAAGAAGAAACGTCTCTTTTCCATTTTTTTTCCAAGTGTTCACGTGTTCATTTTGTTTAAAAAATTCACAACTGTGGGACCCTTTATTGTTGGCACACTCTCTTTTTTGCATTGAATAGTCAACGAATTATTGAATTCTTCTGAGCATTCACGTGATGGCTAAACCAATTTGAGGGCAAATATGAGAATATATTTGAATAATAAATGCACCATACTCAAGGATTTTAGGATGATTTGATAGAAAAATCACTTGTGAATTTTTGACAATTACTCCCAGTCACACGCCTAAATTTTATTGTAAAAAATCATGTAATTTCCTATAGATTTATTGTCTCAAATAATAAGCTAATATTTCAAATAAGAATTATTATTATTATGAATAACAAATATTGTGATTGAGTTAGTAATTTTAAATGTTACAAACAAACTAGTTTAACAACTTAGCCATTGTTTGGTGTTGATTTAAATCAAATTTTAATCTAATTAAAGTCAAACAATTAATATTAGCCACTATTTAGCCCTTGTTTGAGCTTCATTCTAGTGAAAAAATACATTTTAAAATAGTATATTGATGAAAAATGCGTGGTAAAAAATAAATAAAAGTCATAAATTTGCGTATAACATTATTTTATTGAAAAATGTATGGTTGAAATGAGGTCAAATCATTGTTGAAAAATATATTTTGATGAAAAATAAGATTCAAACAAGGGATTAATGAGTCCCACAGCTTTCAATCACACGTTTCAATTTTTTTTTATCAAAGTCTACTAAAGATCTATGCCCCGTTTGTTTTTCATTCTTTTGTCACAAAAATGAAAAATATGACTATTATCCATCACATCAAGCCACCATATTTGACTTCCTTTCTCTTATGTGGATCCCGTAACAATTATATTTTTCATTCTCATTCTTGTAAGAACGAGAATCAAATGGTGGCCTAATTTTAATCATTACCAAATAGGGACTTAGCTCATGTTTGGTGCCCATTATTTAAAAAAAAATAGTTTTGAATCCACATTTGATTCTTATTCTTTTGCCACAAAATGAAAAATATGATTGTTATTCATCATACAAAGCCACCATATTTGACTTGCTATCTCTTGTATGAGTTCCGTAACGACTATATTTTTCACACTCATTCTTACAAAAATAGATACCAAACAGGGCTTGAATGGTATTTTTAGGAAAATGTGTGATTAAATAGTAGGGAAACGTTTTGAATTTACATGCGAAATATTTTAGTGTATTAATGTGTGATTAAAAATAATCCAATAACAAAAAAAATTAAAATTAAATAAATAAAAATTAAAATAATGAGCACCAAACAGTAACTTAGTTTTTAAGACAGTTTTTCTCTTAAAGTCAAATTAAAGATTTCCGTAGATTGTCCAAACAGCACGGTTCACACCGTCAATTTTATAATGATCAAGTACTTATCAAAATGAGGAACTATTATCTGATCCACAGGAAAGAATAAAGCAAAGTCATCCAATTAACATCCGAACAGGTGAGTCCACGCCGTATACATTTATCTTCCCGCACGCATATATTCACATACATTTTTCAGCTTTTTTCCTGAAATAAGAATATTGGACAGATCGATATCTCTGTGTTGATTTGTTTTGATGGCTTCGAAACGGATCTTGAAGGAGCTCAAGGATCTACAGAAAGATCCACCCACCTCTTGCAGCGCCGGTAATTTTTTGGACCCATTTATTTCTTTGTTATTTCTTCACGCTTTTTTTGTGCGTGTAATTATCGTTACTTGATCTGTTGTATTAGGATGTGTAAATAAATTTAGGGAACAATATAGAAACCTTTTTATCATTTTGACTTTGCGTAGCGCGCTAAAATAATTTTGATTGTAAAAGAGGTACATGGAATGTGCAAAAACATGTTTTTTTAAATATGGTTTTGTGTATATTAGTGCTTGAGCTACAGATCTGGTTTGGCTTAAATTATTTTGAGCTTTTCTTATTAAGGATTGCATAATCTGCTCCCCGATGCATTTGGGATGACTTTTTCCAATAATCAGTTAGCAGTTTCTCTGATTATTTATGCTAGAGATTCCGAGGCCTTCTTTTAGATTATGGGTTACTGAGCATAGAATTTCCTATAATCCAGATCCATCCCTGGAAGTAAGTGGACATGTTAATCATTTATCAGCCAGCTCGAAAAAATATTCAAAGAAACCAAATCATCAGTATTCATCACTAATGAGATTGCTACAGCTTATTAAAAATCTAACTTTAATAGCTGCGCCAAGCTATCTTGTCTGATTATTTATCATTTAATATTAATGTGCATCTAACAAAATGTTTCTCAAGAATATATATTTAGCAAATGTTTGTGTTTCATTAAATCCTAACTCTGTTTTTCTCGAACTCATTTTCAACTACACTTTCCCGCGATAAAAAATTTTGCATGTACACCCAAAACTTTTTCCTACCTTCTAAGCACATATATTTTGAAAAAATAACTATTCCAAAACTCATTTTCCCCAAAACTTTTTAATGGAAGACAAACAGAGGCTTAGTTTTTCTCTTACGCTGTCAAGTTATGTATAATGATGTTAACCTGTGAAGAGCTTTTGCTTAAAACTTCTTGACATTGGTGATAAATGAAATGAACTGCCCAAGTATATGTTAGTTTTGGTATATTCCTCCCACTTCTATCTTGTATGCTTTGACTACCAACTATTTGATATCTTTAGCTGATTGCTATTGCATTCCTTTCGGCATTGACAGGACCTGTTGGTGAGGACATGTTTCACTGGCAAGCAACAATAATGGGTCCTCAAGATAGTCCATATGCAGGGGGAGTATTTCTAGTCACTATTCATTTTCCTCCTGATTATCCGTTCAAACCTCCCAAGGTATATGGATTTGTTTTGAAATTGTTATGCTGGGGAAAAAAAAAGAACATTTCTTGTGCGCCTTCTTAATTTCACTACTGGTTTTGTAGATGACATTATTGTTGCACTTTCCATTTCAGTGAAAGTTTGTTGGAGTATTCTATTAAATGATTTGCTTTGAAATAGATAGTGTGTCAAGGTCAATTATGTGGAGAGATGATCTGTACAAGTTCTTGTGCATAAATTGTTTGGTTCTGACTTTCTGCTCTATTAGTAATGGTTTTCTTTCATTTTTTTTTATATGACCATTTGCTTGATAAATGTGAAGTGTAATGTGACCACATACATATTCCCGTTCCATTTGTCATTGCAGTTGTATATATTTGACTCGTTATCTTTCCTCAATTTGGACAAACATATTTCTTAATATTATTTTTGGTTGGATCTTTGCAGGTTGCATTCAGGACAAAAGTTTTTCACCCGAATATAAATAGCAATGGTAGTATATGTCTTGACATCCTAAAGGAGCAATGGAGTCCTGCCTTGACAATTTCCAAGGTTATCTGTTTTTTAGATTTGGAGGTTTCTTGTTATTTATCTGATAGTAACCCAGTTATTTGAGACTTGACAGGTCACACTCAAATTTCCATCTTTTTTGTCCACATGAGGTTCTTCTCCAAAATGTGGGTGCCGTGTACCTGATATTTTTGGGATGTGTAAAGCCTTAAACCTCTCAATGTAAAAAATTTTTGTTGTGTTTGTTGTCCTGTGATTTCTGCCAATTCAGGCAGAGTTCTTTTCTAACACCTCTCCCCTTGTTTTTCCTTTCTGCATTATTTGGAGTGCATATTTGGTTAACATTTAAAAAACTGATTAAATAAGTTCTGGAATAAATAATTCTCAAGCTGGTCTATTTTGTAATAAGTTCGTTCAAGTTGCTTTGCTGAATGTATCTTCAACATTAGTGTCCAAATGAGTAACTTCTTTTACTTTCTAAGTAACTATCCAACGAGTTTGGGAAACAAAAACTTAAATCCAAGTAACTTTGAAGCATATCCAATCATGCTGGAAGGTTTTAAAGTTGCATTCGACGTAATAGTGGCTGCTGCTTGATTTCCTGCATAAATAGGGTCCCCATTAACTGATTGAAGTACTAGGACCTGATTTGAATGCTGTTGCCAATGTTATCTTTGATACCATTTTAATCCCTTGTGAAATCAGATATTGCTCTTCTTAATGTGTGCACATTATCAATTATTGCTTATCATTATTCTAAGGTTGCAAGTGTTAAACAAGGTTGAATATATCATTCTAACAGTATGATACAAAGTGTGAAACCCTGTCGAGGGAAAAGAAAAAACTATCCTTAATAAGGAAACCAGTATCAAGTAGTATCTGAGGGGAAGGGTCTTGTATATATTTGCAGGTGTTACTCTCTATCTGTTCACTTTTAACTGATCCAAACCCAGACGATCCCTTGGTGCCGGAGATTGCCCACATGTACAAGACCGACAAGGCCAAGTACGAGCAAACTGCAAGGAGCTGGACTCAGAAATATGCTATGGGTTAGTGTGATTTTCCTCGAGGGCAGTTTGTTTTATGTAGAAAATGATGTCTCTTGTTGTAATGGACAAGTCACAAGTGTAGTATATACCTTTGAATTGTTGCCTATTGGAAGACAAAGATTATGCTTTGAATTGTTCATATGGAACACTATTTGGGAAAAGACTATATATGTTTGTTTGTCTTGTTTAAGGTGTAATTTTGAGTAATGCTCTTAAATTGATTTCTATATCACTGTGAAAAGGAGCAATGAAGCTTGTCTTTACAGAGTCGTTCGCGTGTCTTAGTTGGGACGAGCTTGTGATAGGGACAACAATCGAAGTTTTCTTTAAGATCGCTTTCTCCAATCTTTTGGAATGCGTTAAATTTTATATCTACATGAAAGTATGCGAATGTATCCAATGTGCTCAGATATTAAGTTGTCCAGGCAAATTTCATGACGTTGTTGTACCTACTAATGCGTTTCAGTTTCTATTGAAATGTATTTTGCAAACCTCGTCCAATACTGGCGAAGTCAAAGGAATTTCAAAAGGCTCGCGCCAAGTATGACAAACCTATTCCCGTTCAGGTTGGCAAAGGATTACAGTCTAATGTAGGAGAAATGTTTGAAGCACGATTTCGAGGCCAATAACATGACATATAAGTTAATAAATCGTGATAACAGTATTAGTTATGAGTCGGCCAATAAAAGGTTAGCAATTGTCAAATATCACAAATTTTGACCTATAAATTTTTTTAATTGTGACCGTAAAATAATTTGTAATATTTAAAAATTATGATTTTTGATCGAAAAATAATATATGACTAATTAAAATATGAATCTGTGACCAAATGTATAGATATGTGACATTAATGTATGACAAAACCGAATAAATTGAATACTAATTCAATCATTAAATCTGCAATTTTTCCTTAATCGTGAATAATTGTCTACTGTTGCGTGAATAATTGTGTGGGTTTGGGATGTAAATATATATTTTAAGGAGTTTGTTCAAGTGTGGAAACTGGATGCTTAATTTTAGGGATTTAATTGCAACAAAATCCTCTCTCTCTCTCTTTGTCTCTTATTTTTGAAATTAAAAACTTGTCATCTTAAAACTGAAATATAACATAGTTAATGTAGGGACTATGAAATTTTCCCAATCTATAAATATCCCATACCTGAGAGAAATGCATACAATTCAATTTTTTTTCTCCTCAAATAGTCC